TAGAGGACCATGTGAGGAGTAAATACTAGAATTAAAAGAATGGAATCAGAAATAATGATGATTTGTGTTTTTCTTTTAGTAATTTTGTATTATAGGTTAGCTTGTGCCTTAAGATTTTTATTTATTTAATGTTATTTACTATATTGTTAAAATAATTTTTATTTAACGAGATGTGAATCCTTTTACATCATGGAATTATATTTATATTTTTTATAATATCTTTTAAATTTAATATTCTTTATGAAATTTTTTTATTTATTATGTCTTAGAGTAAAAAAGTATTATAGGCTCAAAATAATTCATGATTAGTTTGCCACTCTCTCTCTTTTTAGAAACATAATGCTTAGAAAGCAACTACTCTTTATAAAAAATTATAGGAAGAATGTAAAAAAAAAAATTAGTGATGTATATAATTAGATAAACATAATTATTACTTTAACGTTATCTAGATTTAATAATAATATAATATAATCACTATTAATTTTAAATAATTTAATATAAATAGAGACAATTTTAAACAGTTATTTGATCATATGTAAAGTATATAGATTATTGTCTGATTAGTGTATGATAAGAATGCGGTTTAAAAGTTGTTGCAAGTATATTTTTAAAATAAATAAAATGTAATATTTGTCAGTTTTAATTAAAACCATCGGTAAATGTTTAATGTAAAAAAAAACTATTTTGCAATTGTATTAAAAGCCGGTAAAAAAAATCTATTCTACGGTAAATATTTTTAGCTTACGTGAATTTAGCAGTTATTTATAATGTTAGAAATATCATTTACAATGATTTTATTAATCACGAAAAACTACAAATTTAACTGCGACAAGAAAATATGGTTGCACAAGAAATATTAGAATTAAAAGAAAAAACTATCAGAAAAGAAAAACTAGATTAAGAAAAGTTTTCCAAAAAAGAAAAGGCATATAAAATACTAAAAGAAATGCGATTGTTGGATATGTAGTGAGGAAGGACATTATGCAAACGAATATACTAAATAGAACAAAACTAAATAAAAAATAAAAACAATAAAAATTTACTAAAAATTTATGATTTAGAGCTTTTAGAAATTGAATTAAGTGATTTAAAAAATAGTTTATACGAATACTCTATAGAGGAGCATGTATATGTACGCTACAAAAACACTCTTTGATAAATTGGAATTGCAATAAAAGTTTGTTCAAAATTATTTATTATTCAAACAATACATATAAACAAAAAATATGAATATATATGAATTTGAAAACTCTCTTTATAAGATTTATGGTAAAATTTGATAAAACTTTATTTCATATAATATCTATTTCATTTAGAATAGTGATTCTGTGTGCATATTAGGTAATTCTTCTCATTTCAATAATTTTTATTTATTAACTTCACATCCTTATCCTTAAAAAAGAAATAAATTCTTAAAATAAGTACAATATATCTAATTCTAAATATCTTTGATATTTGAAATTTAACATTTGAATTATATTTTTTCAAAAATTATAATATAATTAATATATTAAAAGGTATTTATTTACTATAAATTATTATAGATATATAAGATAAATATTTATACAGTGTATTATTAGAAATTGAAATTCGTCAACATATTTAAATATACTCCTTTTTGAAATACTTTTTGATTAATCTTAGTCTTTCATTTGCCCCCATCCGAACCTAAATAATTTGGATCTCATTATGATAGAACTAAAAATAATCTATTCATCAAATGAGACATTCAAAAATAGGATCAATAATTAAAATGATTGGTGAGACACTTGCATGTGCTATAGGATATATTAGAAGGATGTGTAAACACGGATACAAAAAGATAAACAACATTTCCTCTTACAATTATTTGAAAGAATATTTTAAAAAATAATTATTCTTTTATATATATAAAAAAAAAACTCTTAAACATGTCATAACTCATAAGTGACCAAATTTGTGATTGTGAATGGAAAATAAATTGGTTAAAATTTGGACCACCTTACATTTAACTTAAATAACAAATAAGTGGATAAAAAAAATAAAAATAACAAATGAGTAAAAACTACATAGATAGGTACACGAATAGACATAACCTTTTAGAGTATCTTTTTATGTTTGGAGGTTGTGAGAGTTATCTCTTAGTAAAGTTAAAGTTAGAATGGAAATTCCTTCTAATAAGTATAGCTTTTTTTTATACATATATCTATTAAACCCAAAATTAGGCACTTAAGGAATTCGAATCTCCTAAAATGGCTACATGAACATGTATTTTTTTAAAAAAGTAAACAATTTCCTTCACTCAACTTGTTGCATTAATGAGGTGAACAGTGACATCTTCCCTTAGTTTTCATTGTTTACGAAGTAGACAAAATAGTAAGTAAATCAGTTTGCTACTACAAGTTGGTTCTATTCTATCTATCTTATATCCCAATATTAGAAAACTTAAATAAATGAATAAAAAAATCCCCACTAGATACATTTTATTTTAAACTATTTAAAAGTTAAACATATAATTTAATCTTTATACATGTTTGTAAAAAACATTATTAGTTTAGTTCCTGTACATATAAATGTTACTGATTTGATCCACGAAATGACAACTACTTTATACATTCTTAATTTAATCCTTAAATGTATAATGTATTCTTAATTTGGTCTCTCCATCGTTAATTTTCAATTTGATCATTTAATAAATTGAAAACTCATGCCACTTGAAAAGACTAAAAATTATAAATTTAATCTAATTTAAACAACAAGAATGAATCTCACATAGGCAAATTGTGTTGTGTAGGGCAGGTCTAGTTTAACGCGTACTGAGTCCAGCCAACACAGAGAGGACTTTAATTCAACTGTGATGTGATATTGATATGAGGAAGCAATTGGGGGTCAATTTTATTTTATTTTTTTCAAATTAAATTGAATACCAAGATTAGCTTCATGATTTAACTGATTAAATTTATGGATAATGTTCATTGAAGTAGATAAAATACATGGAATTGGGAATTTCATTTGACTTAATTGGGCAGAGTGATGTGATTTTTGAAATTATTTGATGAAGCTGTGTTTCTACTAGGTGGTTCTTTGACTTACCATAATAACGTTATGGTCGGTAATGAGTTGAAATGAGTGGAGGTTAACTGGCCTCAGATTTGTCTTTGGAAAAATGAAAGGGAAAGAAAGAAGTGTTTTTGGGTTATTTGGATGAATGGGCCAATCTGTGATGTGATGTTATACATAGTGTTTCTTTGCAAGTATAGTATGGGCCACACTTCAATGGACTATTTTTCTCCCTCATAAAATCAGAATGCTTATTATTTCATCTCTTATTTTAAAAAAATGTTTTTCTTATTTACTTTGATGCAAAATTAATTACTAACTTTTATCAAAAAAGAGAAAATAATGATATATACAATTCTAAAGTAATATATATGAGAGAGAAATAATATATTGGGAAATTATAAATGTCTTATCACAAAAAATATCAATTATAATTTTTTTTATCAGGGTGTTACAACTTTAAATGATGGTTTAAAAAAAATCAACATTGCTTGATACAAGTAGTAATAACTTATGTTTTGGTCAAATTATTCAATGTTTGAGTCCTAACTTTTGATATGTATTAGATTATGTTGGAATGAAATTATCCACTTAGTGTATGCTCGACTTTTCTTCGATGAAAGGTTTTTAGAATTTTTTTTCAATTAATTTTTATTTATCATAATTATTTATGATTTAAACTTTAATATTTTTTAAAATAAATTATCAATAAATAAAAATAATTTTGTGTCATAATATATTATTTGTAATAAATCTAAAATATAATTTATATATTTAAAATATTTATTTATATAAATTGTAAATATAATTTATATGCTGAAACATTATATTTATTTGCATATATAACTTATTATAAGTTTGAATTATATATAATAAATATGCAATTACACATTCTAAATATTAAAATATTAATTTTGAAATTAATTAAAACGATCTATGTTTAACAATTTAAAAGCCTAAAATTATATTTTTATTTTTATTTTTTTATAATTTGAAAGACTTTCAAAATGAGTAAAATTATGAATTTACGTGAAATTATAAACAACCTGACCTATTTTTTCTCCTTTAAGTTTGACCCATAGGTTGTGAATGTTCTTAAGGTCAGAGATGGACCACAATTTTCTCGAGTTTCAAGTATATACCGGAATTGGTGGATATAGAAATGTTTCTAATATGATTTCTAAACTATCTTTTTGACTCACTCTATTTTATTCCATTCTACTAGGTGAAATTTATTTGGGTCCCATAAAATATGTGGATCTTATATACATTTCATTAAATAAATAAATAAAATATGTTGAAAAGAAAATATTCATCCTATCTCTATTCTCTATCATAAAAAAGAATGATTTTAAACAGATTAAAAAAATCAGTTATTTATATTAAATTTTACATTATTTTTAAATTATCCTTATCATAAATGTTAAAAATAAAATAATGCAATCAAAGAGTTATGTATTAAATAAGAAATATTTTTGAAAGAGTATTATTAAATAAAATAAAAATAGTTAAATTTATTTATTCTCTTATAAACGATAACAGAAGAAGTATTAGAGTCAGACTTAATAACAATATAGTACATAAACTATCCTATTTCTTTCATTGTATATCAGCTAGACATGATTTATTATTTATCTTTATATTTTGAGAATGGGCAGAAAATATAAGTAGGAACACAAGAAGCTTATTTTTCTCAAATGTTTTTGTGAGTTGTTGCCATTAGTTAGAATTATAAAAAGTATGTTTAGATAGAAGTTAAAAACACTTTTGAGAATTTATCTATTGAACATAAAGAATATTTTTCATAGATAAATTCTTAAAAACGCTTATAAGCTTGTATCCAAATAAATTTTAAATAAAAAAATGGTTATGTTTAAAAAATTAAAGGTTAAGTTCTTGAAATTACAGTTTGACGAGAAGAAATATTGACAAAAATAAAAATGTAAAGCAATTGATAATCATTTAATATATATTTTTTTTATATTATTTCATAAATAAAAGCGTATTATCAATCCATGATTTTGAGTTCACCACGGATTTCACAAAGATTTCCAGCAATCCAACTAATGAGCTACACATTAGGGGCTAAAAGGCTAACTATAAGCAAATCTTACCCAAAGAAACCCATTTATCAAATACCCATACTTGACATTTCACAAGCCACATAATTTCACCATTTAGAGCTATTAAAAGCTAAACATGACTCAAACCATGGTTTTTCCCTTTGAGTCAGTGCTTCTCATCAGAGCCAGAATCTCTCTTCTGCCAAAACCTGAATTGCACACCCCTTTGTTCCAGCATCTTCTCTACTTCCTCCATTGGCACCCCTTTGGTCTCAGGAACAAAAATAATGACAAAGAAAATTGCCGCAATGGCCACAATTCCAAACAACATGAATGTCCATGCTGTCCCAATAGCTTCTGTTAGGGACAAAAAGGATTCAGAAACAATAAGGTTGGAAATCCAAACTGTTGTGGATGCTATTCCTCCACAAACTCCTCTGTATCTCAAGGGATAGATCTCAGAGTTCACAACCCATGGAACAGTTCCCATCCCTGGTGAAAAGAAAATGATGTAAAGAGCAAGGCCTATTAGAGCAGCCCAACCATATTTGCTAGGACACCCCCTAGTGTACCATGCTCTGTGATCATCGCCACATGACTTCTTTGTGGAGTCATTTGAGATCAAACATGCCCCAGGTAAGAGCTGCAAAATTGGTTGAAAGTAGTGTCAATAAACATGACATAAAAATTATGTGTATAGTAGTGTCAACACTTGGAATTGAAATTTCTTGTTTTCTTTCCCTGCCCTCCCAATAATTGATAGAAGTGTCAATTAACGTGACATACATTTGTATAATATGCCAACAATTGGAATTGAAATAACTTGTTTTCTGTCCCTTCCCTCCCAATAATTGATACTAGTGTGTTGAAAAGCATAATTTAAACATGAGGCTGGTAAATGAAAAGAGAAAATAGGCTGTGCATTCATTCAGTCACAAACCATCATGCATGTTAAGCTTGTTGATTTTTATGATAATTACTTTAAAAGTCATGCATATAATGATTTCTATTTGGTAGTCAGTATGAAATTGTTTTACACTGATGGTGCATGACCATTAAACTCAAATGAAAAAGGGTAGAATAGATTGATTTACCTTGTCATCAGCAGCACAAAAGCCACAAGATGGTGAAGCCTTAAGGCATGTCATGCAACTCCATTCACCAGGGTTCACAGCTGTTTTGTAATCAGGGCAAGTTCCATTGAAATGAGAGCTTTCAATAGCACTAACCATTGGAGAGTGAATTTCGCTTTCACGAAAAGCAACAGTTAGGATGGCCAGAGAGAACACAACTCCAGTCAAACTGATCAGTGCAAGCCTTCTCCTGCCAGCCTTGTCAATGAAGTATATGCTCAAAATTGAACCAAATGCATTGAGGCCAGAAGTGATGAGTGACAGAAGCAATGCTGTTCTGTTAGATGCAAAACCAGCTAACTGAACAATTGTGGGGCTGTAGTACATCACAGTGTTAATCCCCACAAACTGTTGGAAGATTAGGAGTCCCATTCCTGCATATAAACCTCTTCTCACAGCTGTGGTCCTCAAAAGCTTGACTATGTTAACCTTCTCAGATGCTTCTGCTTCCTTAATTTCCATGTCAACAGATTCCTTCAAAGCTTGAATCTCAGCATCAACTTCGTTGGCAGCGTAAATCCTTTTCAGAATCCTTATTGCTTCCTCTTCCTTACCCTGTGGGAAGAATAAAATTTGTACAACAATTAAGATTTATAATTTCACACACTGAATGGACATGACAATTGCCTAATGATGATGAACTAACCTTGCGGTACAGCCAACGAGGCGATTCTGGGAGTGTCAACATTAGTACAATTTGTATCAAAGCTGGTAGTGCTGCTACCCCTAACATCCACCTCCATGTTCCTGGTGTCTGAATGAAAAATCATGCACAAATTCATTTACTTCATCACAAAGCAACAAGATGTACTAGAAGAACAAAACAACACCAAGACACAAGTTCAAGCATCCACCACATTTTAATTTTAAACCAACCTTGTATATGCACATGGGAATGGAATGGACTCTCTCAAGTATTTAACAGATTATGTTCAAGTTTTTGCGTCACTTACTTTTCATCACGTGTTTCTGATATTATTCTTTAATCAGAATGAAGTTTTACCACAATAACGATCCATTTTATTCAATGGATCATATTATGTCATATATAACATTAAAGGCACTTGATCTAAGTTTTTTTCTGATATAAAATTTCAACATGACCTTGTTAAAATTTGACATGAGAAGATCCATTCCATGTGCACCAACATAGACAAGACATGTACCATATCACAAAATTGTAACGAAGAGGGCATAGTTTCCAACCTTGGTGAAGGCCAAGTTGATGAGATAGGAGAGGAACTGTCCCCCAGTGATGAGAAAACTGTTAAGGCTCACAAGGGCTCCTCTTACTCTAGTTGGAGAAGCCTCTGAAATGTAGAGAGGGGAAGCCATTGAAGCCATTCCAACCCCAATGCCAACAAATACTCTACCCAGAATGAGAATAGCTGGGCCTGGGGAAGCAGCCATGATAACAGACCCAATAAAAAATAGGGCATCTGCTAGAACTATTCCTTTCTTTCTTCCAAATCGATCGTTGATCCATCCACCTACTGAAGCTCCTATGATTGCTCCAGCAATTGCTGTACTCACTATGGCTTCCTGAGATTTTTCCCATGGTTCAAATTTCACAAAACATTAGAACAATACTCACTTTAAACTCAGATCACAAGTGTAAAACAAAGAACCATGGTCTCAGAATTCAGATCAGCATGACCCAAAAAGTATTCTAGATTTTGTTGCATCCCAATTGGAATTCACTCACAACTTCAATTCAAAGACACACTTGCATGTATGATATATCATAGGCATGAATTTCAAATCAAACAGAAAATTGAAGAATAAAATAAATAAAAATAATAATTAAAAAAAAGAATCTGACCTTTAGTACATAGATTTGATGCCATGTGATTATTAAATTATATTAGAATCAAAGTGTACCACAAGCTACTCTCTTAATTATTTGTTTGATGATTGATTACGCAGGTTAAGAATATAATAGAATTTGGGGGGATTTCAGTGGTTGCAGTAATAGCTGTAGCTTAATCTTGCTTTCCTTTGTTGGCCAACACCCCAACGGGACCAACGGAACATTTGTTGAGCCAAAACATGATTGAGACACTTGTCAACCTTTCAGGTGTTATCTTTTTGTTTTTTTTTTTTCTTCTATAATATATATAATATATGAAAAACATGAAACATTTTTTATATACACACGTCAACTGAAATTTTAATTTTGATATATTATTTAATCAATTAAAAGTAAAAAAAAAAAGTATTATAAATTAAAACATTTAATTATATGACAATTCATAATTAAATATTTAATCTAATTATTATTATTATTATTATTATTGGATTTATTTCAAGTTTTACACAGTTAACACTGACATAGTATTTGGTTTGTAGTTGGTGCTTTTTCCAAAGCACTCGAAAGGAACAAATCCATAAATTGCAGTTCAATTTGGAAGTAAACGTTAAAACAGACACCAACTGAATTCACCGCTTAGAGAGACGTAAACGTGTGTTCATGCTGTAGCCGTGGGAATAGAAAACTGGGATTATTTTTTAAGAATTAAATAAAATAATAATAATAATAATAATAAATATAATTCTTACTTATTAACTGGATCTCACTCTCACCCCGTGAATCCGGATCAGGTAATATATTTATCTGCCTGAACCCATTTAAAAGTTTGTGAACCCACATTAAAAATATTACCTTAAAAAAATCTTAATGCTATGAATCTCCTCCATGTGTTTAATTGGTAAGTTAAAAATTATCATCGAGAAGATTTTAGTTTTTTTTAAATAAAACATCACAGAGAAACAGATTCAATGTTTCCAAGCTCACTGTTAACATGAACAAAATATGAGAAAAAAAGAAGAAGAGATTTTCAATCACATATATGACAGAGATTCTTTGTTGATTCAGAAGGTCAAAGTGGTTTTTGTTTTAGTGAAAATTTCAAAAAAAAAAAACATCAAATTAATTAAAATTTAAAGTGATTTTCAAGTCCCAATTTTTTTTTTTTTATATAAAACAAAGTATTAGAGTGAGTTATTTGTCTAAAGTGTTTGGAGCATACAAAAACATGTTTGTTTTTTTTCTGCAAGTTGGTGGCTGTGAACAGAGAACATGTAAGGGCATTAAAGTCCATTAAAGTAGGCTTCAATTCACAAGAGTTTTTCTTCACCAAAATCAAAAATTCACAAGAGTTGTGAATTTATTGAAAACCTGAGAATTCATCAATGATCTCAAAGAAGATTGGTGTTACCTGAAGCCAAGTTTTTCTATCAACTGCCTTGAAATCATCTCTGATGTACAATAGAGCCCCAGATATAACTCCTGCACATACCCATAAATGATCAACCCAAATATGATTAAAACAAACTTGATGCACCCAAATGCAATACTATCCAAAATTAATACCATTTAAAAGAAGTACACAATTTACAACGTTCCCTTTATGACTACTTTTGCTGTTAGAATTTACAGAAGCACAAGGGTATCATAGATTCATAGGTGCTACGAAGAAAGGGTGAAAGCAATGGTTTCAAAGATTTTATGTCAACTAAACATAAGTGCAAAATAATACACAATTACATATATATATATATATATATATGTTAATTTTATAAGGTTAAATTAAATTTAAAATTTATTATTTTTTATTTTTGTTATCCAAAAAAATTAAACTAAAATATTTACAATAATTTATACATCACGACCAATTGAGTTAGACTCTTGATGGGGGTATTTTTCATGGAAAAAACAAAGCAAAAAGGCTAAGATAGTGAGAAAAGAAATGAGTTAGACCCTTTGAGAAGAATTGTTTTACATGGAGAAACAAAACAGAGAGGGTGTGAGTGTGATAAATAGAAAGAAAAGAAAAGAAAAGAAAAGGGTTAAAATGGACATTAGATTTTGTTATCTACCAGTGTCATAACCAAAGAGAAGGCCTCCAATTCCTGCAGAGAAAGCAAGGCGAAGAACATAAGGATTCTTCCACGAGAGAGACAAACATTCTCTGAAGGCAGACATATCAGCTTCTGGTACACCTCCTTCCATGGCTGTGGAAGTGTTCTTCTCTTGAACAAGAGAAACAAAAGAAAAAGAAAAAAAACAGAGTATTCAACGTTGGTTGTGATTGTTTGTGCAAAGGTAGTGTGTTGAGTTTGAGAGACGAGGAGAAGAGGCTCCCATGGGTAGTGTATTTATAATGCCAGAAAACGTTGTGATGACGAGTTTACTCCATCAATTTATTTTTACTTTTTTCTTTTTTGGTAATGTAAAAGATAAAACTTTTAACTATCATTAAAAAAAAAAAAGATATAATAAAAAAAATTCTTAAAAAAATGATGGATAATGACAATAAGCGATCAATCTGGCAAGCAAAATATTTTATTAAAAATGGAATTATCTAAATCTGTTTTATTATTAAAGGCTTTTATTCTTAAAAAGGTAAAAAAAAATCTTTTTATGTATATCTTCGCTTATAAGAAAATAAATATTGACTGATTTACAGGGGATCAACAATTAGCCTAAGCTTTATACTGTTATATAAATTTTTTATTTTTCTGTTTAAATTATAAACACCAAATGAACGAAATTTAATGACTAATATTGTGATATATTTAAAGGTTGATATTTTTTAATAAATACTTTTTCTTTAATAAACGACGGCTTGACTAGAATTATGTCATTGTTATTTAATATAAAAGTTTCAATTTTAATGCAAGTGTCATAAATTGTTGCTCAAATTAATTTTATTGTAGTTATTAAAAAGTAATAAATTTAATATATAGGAAAAAAATATGTTATCAATGTATTTTAATTAAATTATTATAACAAATATTTTTCTTTTTTTTAATATTAAATTTTAACCGTTTTAATATATCCGTTTAAATTTAGAAAATAAGATAGAAAAGTTAAAACAGAAAAGAGTATTTATTAAATGCACACCTTTTTAATATATAACAATTTAATTTTAATATATGGGTTTCATATAAATTATTGGTATTAACTATTAATTATTATAAAAATAATAAATTTATTATATACGATAATTTAAGATTAGATTATAGATAAAAATATATATTATCAATATTTTAATTAAATTATTTAAAATATTTTTAAAATAATAAATGAGAGTTCTATTTATAATTAATATTATTTACTTTTTATTCACCGTGTTCTTCTCCTGAAGAAGAGGAAGAGAAAGAAAAAAAAGGTTGTCAACGTTGGTTGTAATTATTTGAGCAAAGATAGTGTGCTGAGTTTGAGATACGGAAAGAAGAGACTCTTATGGGTATTGTATTTATAATCACAGAAAACGTTATGATGACGAATTTACTCAGAGAATTTATTTTATATTTGTGTCTTTTTTTTTTTTTTTTTGTTCGTACATGGAGTATTCACCGCCGTGACTAATCTCCTCGCTACGTTGGAGGCACTTCAAAGGGTGGGATAGCTAGCCCCAAGATTTAACGCGGCTGCATACATAAGGTGTCTTTGGTAATGTAAAAGATAAAGTTTTTTGCAAAATAAAATAAAATACTGCTTAAAAAAATGATAGATAAAGACGATAAGTGATCAATTGATAAAAAGAAAATACGTTATAAAAATGTTAGTTATTTAAAATATTTTAAATAAATATAGAAAATATTTTTTTTTTAAAAAAATTATAAGGTAATCCTTTTCCGTATATATAGGTGTATGTGTTCTCTTTTAGTTAGCTTTTTTATTTATTTTTATTTTTTTGCTAAGCAGTTAGCTTTTTTATTTTTGTTTTAAATTTGCAAATTAAAAAAAATTCGTACTTGAATTTAAAAATATAAATATTGAATTATTTAAAATTAAATTTATGCTAAATTGTACTTTTAGTTTCTTTAATTTTATTGATTTGTAATTTTTGTCTTTTTATTTTAAAATAGAAATATTTAATCTTTTTAATTTAAAAAATACGAAATTTTGGTCATTTTATCAAGTTGACATATATTAATTATCAAGTTTTAATATTTAATCATATTTAAGTGATGAAATATTAGTAATATGAAATTTAGAAATAAAAACTAAAAAATATGTAAATAAGATTTTTATTAATAAAAAAATATCAATCACTCCTAAAAATAGATAGAGGTGTTTATTATATTGAATTAATATGATGAATTTGATATTCTGAACTAAACCAATTATATTGATTTAGATTTTTTTTTGTTTGGACCCAATCCAAACCAAATCAATTAAAGGTGACGTTGATTGGTTCGAATATTAAATTTACACATTTAAAATTTGAATCAAATCAACTAATTTATACACATATTTTTTTTATTTTTTACTTGATTAACAATTAATATGTATGTCTCATTTTAATTATTTTAAAGACATTTTTGTGTTACAATATGTAGATTTTTTTTTTATTTTTCTTGAATACTTAAATAAATCAAGAAGAACTATATTTTACTATATTGAGTGTCATTTTCACACATTATAGTGCATTTGAAATCTTTAAATACATTAAGAAAAGGAATCAAGAAGATTTATATTGCAAATGTAACAATTTAGTTAATTTTTGACAATATATCAATTTAGTTAATGTTGAAAAATATATTTACTTTGAGAAAAAAATATTTTTTAATTTTTTTAAAAATATTTTAATTTTTTTTTAAAAAAATTAAATTTTAAAAAAAAAATTTAATTAGATATCTGATGATTTGAACCGAACCAACTCAATCAACATCTTATTGGTTCAATTCGAATTAAGAAAAACAATTTATGAAATCCAAACCAATCCAAATCAATCAAATTTAATTAGTTTAGATTGGGTTTTCACCCAAACTCAAACTAACCCGATCGTAAACATCCTTACAAATAGATAAAAATAAAGATCTTTTGTATGTTATATTTTAATTTTCATTCATATATCATGTAGTTAAATATCATGTCACTTAAGTTGTGATAGATCACCAAACAACGTCAAAATTTAACATTCAACAAACATCAAATTAATTATAGGACCAAAATTCTATATTTTTTTTAAAATAAGAGGACTGAATGTCTCTATTTTTAAATTGAGGAACTAAAATTGCAGATTGATTAAAATAGAGTGTAATTTAATCTTAAATTTATTAGTTGATTTAACAATGTTAGTATAAAATAGACTTTTAAATAGGTTAATAGACTAGACCAAACTTATTTAAAACATGTCATGTCTATAAAAAAATTATGATACTTAATAGGTCAAAGTTGTAATGTAATAAGTTAACTGTTTAGAGTTTAGTTGACGCTAGAGAGAAGAGTATATAAAACTTTATCTGAGAACGAAACTTCATAAACTCATTCTCAAAGGAATTATAGAGAGAAGCTTTAGAGAGAAGGGTTCTAGGTCCGTGAGCTCCTTTCTCTCCCAAATTTATCTGTTTGATTCTTCTTCTTCTCTAGATTACTAATCTCTTCTGTCTCTTCTTTGAATTCAGGTTAGAAAACGTGGTTTTAGTGGATTGAAGTCTATGGTTCAACCGTTCATAAATTCTTCTCCATCTTCCTCTTCTTAGTTATTCTGAGCAAATTTTCAAGTAAGGGAAGCTAAGATTTGGGGTTTTGGGTTGAAAATGTGGGGCTATTGAATGAATTGAAGGTTAATGTTGGTAGATTTGTGAAATCTACAAAATGTGGAGAGGATTCAAAAGAAGTTTTGTGTGGACATGGGGGCTTTTGTTGTTCTTGAGGCAAAGCTGAAATTTGATGATCTTCTTGAATTATTGTGGATACATGTCATTCTTCTTTGATTTTCTGAGTTATATGATGTTAATGCTTGAAGTATTTTGGGTTGCATGTCTTGATCATTGCATGGATTGAGATGATTGGGAGATTTGAGTTGTTCACCTACTGGTATGAATTTTTTGGGTTTAGGACGCTAAGCGTGATTTTTCATGCTTAGCGTGACAATTTTGAATGCTGTTGGAACTCTGAGGCTAAACGTGGGATTCTGAGCTTAGCGTGAGAGTGAGATGTGCCTCTAGAAGGCTGACGCTGAGCGTGGGATTCTATGCTTAGCGTGAGAGCTGAGTTGTGCCTTTGGAAGGTTGAGGCTGAGCGTGAGTTTCTGCGCTGAGCGTGGGGTCTTGGTTTAATAAAATTATTTTCTAATTGAGTTGGTTGCTTACATGATGGATGAGTTGTATGTTGGAAGCTTGTTGTTCAAGTTGTATTATGGTTAAATGATGTTGAATAATTTGTATACTTATGGTATGATGAGGAACAATATGTGTTGAACATGTTATGTATTGTAGGAGTTGTTTATATGTTGTATAGTTGGTTCATATATGTATGATATATGATGAAATTGGTGCTTGATTCATATGTATGCTTGGTAATGATATATATGAATGTTTAAACATGATTTGGTATGTACTTCAAATGAAGATGATATTGATCATGATGGTGGATTAACCATATATGATGTATGATGCATTGTTACATGTGATGTCTTATGGCATGTGTCTAGCCTAGGACTTGAGGAGAGGGAAAATATTTTCGATCTAGAAGAGCTCACATAGAGTCTCTTGAGAGTGGTGCTTGGATAGGCTATTGGTTTGGATGAGAGTGGTGCTTGGATAGGCCACTGGTTTTGGGTGAGAGTGGTGCTTGGATAGGCCACTAGTTTGGGTGAGTCTCCTCTAAGTCCTTAGCTAGTGTTGGAGCAGGGTATGAGGTCGAGGTTTACTGGGGAAGGTGCATGGTTCCTTGCGGATAGTCGATGGGCGAACTCCACAAGTGACTTGGTAATGCATGTCAAGGTCGTGGTAAGCCTGTACCCAGTTGTGCTATACCTGACGATGGAACCAGACTTCCAAGTATGTAAGTGACATCATTCGAGTAAACCCGAGTGGGGATTAATATCCTAGTTTGTTGTGACCAAGCCAGCACATTGGGTGTGAAAATGATTGGAGTGGTTTCAATAGGATGAAGTGTCACTTATACTGCTTTGTTGTTAGGGAGATCTCCTAAGTGAATGTGTGACGATGTATTATATGATAGATATGCTTTAATATCTTTCATGTGTTGCT